GAGGAGCTTACAGCATAAGACAAGTTCCACTAACTTGTCACAATTTGCCAAACGTAAGAAAAATACACAAGACAAAAGTAGTTCTTATCTTTTGAAGAGAAATAGATCAGAAATGAACAGAAGAAGAATAGATTCCCCAAGAGGAAACAATATAAATAAGGTAAGGTTGAAGGTGACAGAACCACTTTAACCCTCCATAGTAAATGTTACAGTATTTTCCAGAACAACCTCCAGGATTCAGCAGGCCAGTAATCTGTGAGCGATACAAAATTCTGATGGTCCTATTCAGTCAGAAAAATAAACTTTACAGTAAAGGTAAAGTAAAATACATAATTATGATTTTTTTAAATTATCAAATGCTAGTGATTTATCCTTCTGTGTTTTTTGAGGGGGTCAGTTTTTATTGAAGTCTAAAGCATTACAACAAAGTTGAGCAGTAGTGACATGTTTGCAAAGAAAGAGTGGTTGTACAAGAGTCACAGAACACTTCTAAACAAAGACTATGGTCACAGTAGGGAAAGTATATCATATCACACTAACTTATCCAAGTCTCATTTTATGTTAAGGAAGATTGAAATAAATGCAAAACTAAGAACACAGGAAAAAAGATGAATCTATTTTTGTGCACTGATCATATAATAGGTAGGGAGAATGACCACTGTCAGCATAACGTTAAAGAAAATAAAGTACAAATAGGAGAGGCCAACAGAAGTGAGAAGCTTGCCCTGCAGCACCTAGGTGGCAGTTCACCCCACACCATCCAAGCAAGACACATGGCAAAGATAAAACAGGAGTCCCTAAGGTCCCGGACGGTCACTCCAACAGCCCCCAGCTTGGCGCCGATCCTTAGCCCCTGCCTCACATTCCCAGCCGAATCCAGCGGCCAGTACACTTTTACCCGTTCTCCCACAACACTTAGCCGGATGCGGGCCTTACAGGGACTAAAACCTTGTGAGAGATAACGACCATGATTGGATCATGGCTGAAGTAACTGGTGATGCAGCCAGAAGCCTGGTCTTCGGCGGCTAGGTCTCCACTTCGGTCTCACCCTCTGCTTCTGTTTCAGCAGCGAGGTCACCTTGTGTTTTGTGACGGCCCTCTGAGTAGGCACCTAATAGCGTGGTGTGGCTGATCAAATAAAATGTTCCCTACATATTTTCTTTTTCTGTAGTAAAAAAAAAAATCTATTTTTATATAGAAAATTTTTTTTCTCCCTTTCCCTTGCTAATCAAGGTGGAGAATATATATATATATATATATATATATATATATATATATATATATATATATATATATATATATATATATATATATATATATATATATATATCCAAATCATACCTATTCTAGTATAACCTAAGTTAACTTATTTTGCCCCCTCCAATATGGCCGCCAAAATGTATAACCCTAACATAATATGAACCTCCACCAAGGGAGATCTAGCGAGAGCACCTATGGATAGAATACCAACTCCCTCTATAGCCAACTGATCCTCCCCACACTCGAGGGAGCTTCCTACTTTCCCCACTCACACACTGTTCGGTGTAACGAACCGCGTGTGAACTACATTCCCCATAGTTCATTGCGCAAGGTTACGTGACGCGGAAGAAAGTAGCTTCTAGTGAATTTTCCAACTTTTCAAAGCTTAGTTTTTATTAAATAAATACCTAAAATAGGTCCTAAACCTTTGTTCTTATAAATACATTTATTTATATGTAATTTCACAATTTTTTCTCTGTACTGCTAATTGCTGATGTCCTTTTGGTGCCAATTTTAAAAACTGGTCTGTATGCTACTTCTTATATAAGCCTTTGTCTGCCAGGCCAACTATTTTCCACTTGATTAAGCCCTGTGTGGTGAAACGCATTGTGGATTTTAAATATCATTTTTAGTAATGGAATTTGGTCTATTTTAACTCAAAATTGTGACATCTTTCCTTATTTTTATCTTATTTTATTGTCATTTGCCTGGCATCCTGTTCTTCTACACCAGTGAGGATCTCTCCAAAGAATCCAGGGTGGGGATCTGGGCACTACAAAATGAGCGGTTAGCCTGCACAATAAAATGTGAGTAAGATTTATTTTCTTTTTACTCCTATGTTAATATACGGAGAGCGCTTTTTATCTGTTTTTTTTTGGGGGGGCCCTATCATCTCTGTATTGCAAAGGAAACCTGATCACTACATCAACGCACATATCCTAGAAGTGGGAATCATACCACTCTACGCCCCTTATACTAGAGCTGGTTTGTGCTCTGGTAAATGTGAGTACCTCCATTCTACATTACTCAGTTAAGTTGATTGGGATATACTGCACCATTGGATTTCTCTTTCTATTTTTATATGTCTGCACGAATTACAATCCACTTCTGACCCAATATTTTGCACAAGTAAAATATTCTCCCTTTCCTAGTCTGTTTTTCTCCCAAGTTGCACTTTATATTTACATTGGACTTTAGAATTGTTATTGCCTGTTACTATAATTTATACATTTTAATAGCATTTATATTATTGGCACTCCTTTCTCTTTTTCTTTTTCCCCATATACTGTTCTCCCAAACTTTTGCCCATGTGAGGAGAAAATCCAGCATTAGAAGCTCTTGGTGTAGTGGTTGTGTTGCACATGCAGGGTGATGCCCAGGATGCCCCAGGAGCGGCAGACATTTTAGGTAGCAGGCCTCCCCCAGTTGGCCTTCCACGAACAGGGCAATGTAACTGTGACGACCGGGATAATCCCCACCGGTACAGGAACAATCAGGCGCACGTCCAGCCAGACGATTGGCTGCTTCCTCCGATCAGAAAACGTCAACGAGGGGGGGGCGTGGCCGACTACGGAGCTGGATAGTCGCATGTCCGTGGAGCTCTGCATCGGCCCCACAGACTAAGAGCCTTAAAGAGGAGAAATCAGCTCCAAAAACGCACAGCTTACCTGCCACCCGACAGCCGACAACATGGGGCGCAAACATAAAAAGCAAACCTACACGGAGCGACCCGCGGCACCCGACATTAGGCTGGCATTCCAGAGGCCTACACAAGTGCGGCCCGCCAAGATGGCGCCGGAACCGCAGAATGATATAGAGACCTCTGACGACTCCCAGGAAGAGAGGGACTCCCAAGCCTCCCTCCCGGGCCCCACTCCCAGGTCTGACTCGGAGGAGGATGACTCCCCATCAACAAAGGGGGACATCAGAAAGCTGCTGATCGACCTAAGGCAGGTCTGGAAGGCAGACTTACAGGAGACACGTGCTGAAATGCGAGTCTTACAACAGAGAGTCCAGGAGGTGGAGAACAGAGAAAGCTCCAGAGACCACCAACTCCAAGACACCAAACTGCAACTGGATGATCTTAAGGAGAAGGTCCGACGCCTACAAGGAGCGGTGGTGACACTGGAAACCAGACACCGCCGCCGCAACATACACCTCAGAGGTATCCCTGAAACGGTGAGCGGTGAAGACTTACTGCCCTTTGTCCGAAGACTCACCTCCTCCATGAGCCTCAGGTGTAATTCAGACACCCCACTGATTCTGTCCGCCTTCAGGGTGCGCAAATCACCAGCGGCACCCGAGGGTGCACCCAGAGACACAATAGCTACCACCAGGGACGTAGCTGCGAGAGCTACCATCATGGCCAGATCCAGACCATTGGGGTCGGTAAAATTTGAAGGATGCGAGGTAGCCATATACAGTGACCTCCCGTTTGCTGTGCTTGCCGCAAGGAGACTACTAGCACCAGTCACTAAGAGACTGAGAGAACAATCGGTCCGGTACCGATGGGGCACAGAGGGATCGCTAACAGTACAAAAGGGCACCGACGTACTCACCCTAACCTCGGGAGACGATCCAGAGACATTCCTCAAAAAACTAGGCATATCAGCCAATGGACATAGAAAGCAGAATGAGAAACGCAATATTTAACCGCTATAATAATGTTTTGCATGTATATAGATAAGCTTATATGGTCCGGGAAAGATACTTACCATTTCTGATACTCCTAATCCAGCACTCCATGCTATTACCCTAAATACCTGACCCCACGCATATAGGATAAGCTGGAAGATTGTTAAAAACTAGCAGCCTCGAAATTAAGCAACCTCTTTAAAGGGGGACCTCCGCAGAAAGATAGAAATGTACAAATTGTTTCTTTGCTAGGCCACAGTAAAGGATCTCTGACATTGTGCTTGTTATTATGCATGTAGCCCAACGAAATGTTATTTGAACCTGTTCTAACCCATATAATAATATAATAACACATATAATGGAAAAGTGTATACTTTGTGTACAAAACCAAATAAAATACAAATTTAAAAAAAAAGAAAAGAAAACGTCAACGAGCCGCCGAGGCAAAACTTGAAACTTTAGAAAGATAGTGCAGATCAGAGGGTATCTCTCAATGGGCTGCAGGTTCCCCTACAGGTATAGTCGAGGATCAGGCTAAAATTTACTCAGAAAATTTACATAAATGGCTTGAAAACAGATTTGTATCAAAGAGCTCCAGCAACATGCGTCTGCCTCGGCTTGCAATCAGGCCACACCCTATCCTCTGCCTTTTTTAATGGAAATTAACCTGCTGGCATAAAATTGTATAACTGCCTACAAACACTCCATGCTCCACACCATCCATGTTCACAGATTTTCTCTACTAATAGCTGCAGAAATATACCGAACCCCAGAAACTATTTCTCCACCCCCTTTACTAAACAAGATCTTCAGTAGAAACATGACAGCAGATACACGTTTGGGCCACCTAGTTTGCCCAATTTTCTAAATACTTTTTTTAATTAGTCCCTGGCCTTATTTTAAGTCTAGAATAGTCTTATGCCTATCCCACACATGCTTAAACTCCCTCACGGTGTTAACCTCTACCACTTCAGCTGGAAGGCTATTCCATGCATCCACTACCCTCTCAGCAAAGTAATCCTTCCTGATTTTATTTTTAAATCTTTGCCCCTCTAATTTAAGACTATGCCCTCTTGTTGTCGTATGTTTTCTTCTTTAAATAAATAAAAGGATGGCAAATTGCCACATGCAGTGCCTATATGGATGTATAACTAACCCTGGTGTTTTATTCCTACAATTTGGTCCTAGAGATATTTGGAGGATCTATCAGGGAAGTGCACTTTAATGGTCCCCAGGTAACAATCTTCAACTGAGCGCAAGGCTTTCAGAGATGAAGGGGGGCAAACAAGGGAAGTAAGTGAACACACACCTGCCTTTTCTTTACAACTTCAAAGTGATGGATGGGTTCTCTCATGGGCCTTCTATGTATGTTGCAATAGTGGCAATTCACATGTATACAATTTGAAAACTACAATGGTTAATGTTATACATTATACAATCTAAATAAAAATTAAATATTGACCATGAAAGTTATTGCACATCTATTCATTTTTAAAAAGTGGACCTAATAATGCAGAATTTTATCAGGGCTTTGTTCACATGTTCATTATTTTTAATTTTGAGCAAGATCTCTTTTAGAGTAATCATTTCCATGCAAGTGGTTTATTCTTAATGACTATCACAGTAAAAACTGTACTAGGCATTTAATCTATAGATTAATTTTTTTTTAAAATAAAATAAAATCAGACCATGGCTTGAAGATAGTAGTGCGTTTAAAAAACAAAAACAACAACAACAAAAAAACCAACAAAGTATGATAGCAGAAGGCACTCCCCCAAAAATTCTAAATTGTAATATTTATTAATTTATTTTGTTAATTTGTATTTCATTAGAGTTATACACATAGTATACATCTGTGTCAGTCTATGTAAGGAATAAACATTTGTGGAATATGATAAGGCTAGGCATTGTTTCACAAATCGAGTTAGAGAAAAGGAGTGTGATAAGAAAATCTGAATGATTTAGACAATATAGGCTTAGTGCCACTATTCAAATTATCACGTGTCGTATGCTGCAGGCGGTCAGCCGACCAGGTTGCTCATCTATGTGTGTGTTTATATATATATATATATATATATATATATATATATATATATATATATATATATATATATATATATATATATATATATATATATATATATATATATCGTACGTCTAGGCATAAAACCAAAACATTCATAGCCATGTTAGCAAAAGTAAACGAACATGAGAAATAAACGTAATGAAAAATGAACGTAGGCATCAGCAACATTTTAAGACCGTCCATGGTGCTGGGAGAGTGTCACTGGACCAGATTGTTTCATGGTATCGCTCTCTCTGAGCCTTCTTCTTGTGTAGTATATCCACCTGGTGTGTCTCCTCTAGCATGGTGGTGGCCGGTAGTATATGTATGGAAACTAGTGTTAGTGTTTGAGTGTGTGTTAGTGTGTGTGAGTGTTAGTGTGTCTGCTAGTAAGTGTTAGTGTGTGAGTTAGTGTGTGTGTCAGTGTTAGTGTGAGTGTTAGTGTGTGTGTCAGTGTTAGTGTGAGTGTTAGTGTGTGTGTCTGCTAGTGAGGGTTAGTGTGTGTGTCTGCTAGTGAGGGTTAGTGTGTGTGTCTGCTAGTGAGGGTTAGTGTGTGTGTCTGCTAGTGTGAGTGTTAGTGTGTGTGTCTGCTAGTGTGAGTGTTAGTGTGTGTGTCAGTGTTAGTGTGAGTGTTAGTGTGTGTGTCTGCTAGTGAGGGCTAGTGTGTGTGTCTGCTAGTGAGGGTTAGTGTGTGTGTCTGCTAGTGAGTGTTAGTGTGTGTGTCTGCTAGTGAGTGTTAGTGTGTGTGTCTGCTAGTGAGTGTTAGTGTGTGTGAGTGTTAGTGTGTGTGCCTGCTAGTGAGTGTCAGTGAGTGTGTTACTGTGTGTGTCTTACTGAGTGTGTGTTAGTGAGTCTGTTTGATGTCTGTTAGTGAGTGTGTGTTTGTCAATGAGAGTGTATGTTTTGTAAGTGAGTGTGTATGTCTGTCTGTCGCTGACTGTATCTCTGTCAGTAAATGTGTGTGCCTGTTAGCTAGTGTGTATGCGTCTGTAAGTGTGTGTGTGTGTCTTCAGCACTTACCTTTCTCCAGCGCCGGACTCCCTTGGCGATGGGGATCCCTCAGCCTCTCAGCTCCGAATGCGACCGCGCACGCATTCAAACCGCCCATAGGAAAGCATTACTCAATGCTTTCCTATGGACGTTCAGTGTGCTCCTCTAGCGGCTGTCGGTGAGACAGCCACTAGAGGCTGGATTAACCCTCAGTGAAACATAGCAGTTTCTCTGAAACTGCTATGTTTTCAGCTGCAGGGTTAAAACTAGAGGGACGTGACACCCAGACAACTTCATTGAGCAGATGTGATCTGGGTGTCTGTAGTGGTCCTTTAAAGGACCACTATAGTGCCAGGAAAACATACTCGTTTTCCTGGCACTATAGTGCCTTGAGGGTGCCCCCACCCTCAGGGGCCCCCTCCCGCCCAACTCTGGAAAGGGGTAAAACTTACCTTTTTCCAGCGCTGGGCGGAGAGCTCTCCTCCTCCGATCCTCCTCTTCTCCTCCCCGTCGGCTGTATGCGCACGCGCGGCAAGAGCTGCGCGCGCATTCAGCCGGTCACATAGGAAAGCATTCATAATGCTTTCCTATGGACGCTGGCGTGCTCTCACTGTGAAAATCACAGTGAGAAGCACGCAAGCGCCTCTAGTGGCTGTCAATGAGACAGCCACTAGAGGAAATAGGGGAAGGCTTAACCCATTCATAAACATAGCAGTTTCTCTGAAACTGCTATGTTTATGAAAAAATGGGTTAACCCTAGCTGGACCTGGCACCCAGACCACTTCATTAAGCTGAAGTGGTCTGGGTGCCTAGAGTGGTCCTTTAAGTGTGTGTGCATCTGCATGCCCTGTAACCCCTGCGACCAGGTGCCATGTGTTGCGGCCCAGCCCGCGCGCGCGGGGGGGGGGGGCGCCACGGATCGCACCGGGGCCCCATGGGTCATGTGTACGCCACTGACAGGGAATATATCTTTAAGTGAGACATGGTTATTGTTATGTGGGGAAGCAATTAGACATACACAGCAACTAGATATGCTCAACATTATTAATATTATTTATGGCTGTTTTGAGCATAGATCATTAGCAGGGACTCTGTGATTTGGTAAACCAGCTTTGATAAATCAGTTCTGGTCTTTATACTATAGATGTTGGAGATGTGGGGCATAGGATGCTTTATCCTATGTTACTTTGTATAATTGACACCTTGGTGCTTTATTCCCACATTATTAAGTGATATTCTAAGTATAGAGATCCTCCTTTGGATAGATATATTCTTTCACTCTTATTGTTATTTGTATTTTTTTACACTTTTGAATGTATACACTTCTACACATGCCTGATCACACAGAGGCAGCTTCACATGTTGCCTGGTAACAAGATCATGTGACCGCATAGATGCACTTCCGGGTTTCGGATGCTCGGCGGTCTCTCGTACTCACGTCTGGGAACACAGAGAGCGTATTGGTTACGCAGTAGTATGGGGAGTGTAGGGGGTCACATGATCACCTGGGGATACTTCCGGTTTTCGGATAGTTGGCGGTTTCTTTTCCCACACACCTGTTGGTAAGTTATCAATGTAAATTTTTCTGTGTATATATACTTACCTGTTTCACTGTTTATTTGATCTTGAAGAAGACCCTGTGAGGGTTGAAATGTCGATTGCACATGTAATTTGCACTTTAGAATAAATCAGAATTCAGACAAAGACCTGTGAGTGCTCCTGGGTGTGAAAAACTTTAAAACAGTTGCCAATACAAAGGCCGGGCTGAGAGGGGCAATCGGGGCAATAAAAGCTGATTTCCGTCCTTATGCCCCTCTGGTAGCACAACCTGCACCTTTTCTGGGGACTCTTCTTTCTGGGGGTTGGTGGTATCCGGAAACAGAAGTGACCTGTCTCAACTCTTCTGCCACTAGGCCCAGCTGATGGTTCCCCACTGTGGCCCAGAAATAAGTTGAAACTGGAAATCCAGAAATGTGGATTTAATGTCAGCATTTGCCTTTTTGTACAGAATAAAGGCATTGTGAGTCGCCATTTGCATAAGGTAAATGCCAAGCTTTTTGTACCATGCCCTGGTCTTCCTCAGTATTAAATAGGGCTGCGGCAGTTGGTCGGACAGGTCAACTCCCCCCATGTGCTTGTTATACTGCCTGATGCAGACTGGCACCCATCTAATTTCTTGTCTGCCACGAACTGCGACTCTTTGAATGTGCTCAGTATACATAGATGTTAGCATGAACACCTTATCTTTGAATTTGAGAGCCAGCAGTTCGTCCTGGCAGAGAGCAGCCGTTTCCCCCCCTCTTGAGCTTTTTTTGTGCCAGGGCTTTTGGGAAACTGACACGTGTCTTTCGGACAGTGCCACAGGCCACAGTTTCAAAGCAATAAAGTATCCTAAGAAGAAGGATGCTATCATAGGCGTGCGCAGCCTATTGCATTAGGGTGTGCAACCTAAAGCACAAACACACGCCGCGTGTGTATGTGTGTGTGTGTGTGTGTGTGTGTGTGTGTGTGTGTGTGTGTATATATATATATATATATACACACATACACACACACACACACACTGCTGTGTGCTGTTAGTGTGATGTGTGTGTGAGGGTGCTGTTAGTGTGATGTGAGGGTGTTTGTGACTGTGCTGTTTGTGTCTGTGCTGTTTGTGTGTGAGGGTGTTTGTGTGTGTATGTTTGTCCTGTGAGGGTGCTGTTTGTGTGAGTGTCGTGTATTTGTGAGGGTGCTGTTTGTGTGTGTGTGTGTGTGTTTGTGAGGGTGCTGTTAGTGTGCTGTGTGTGAGGGTGTTGTGTTTTTTTTAAATGTGCTGTGTGTGTTTGTGAGGGTGCGGTTAGTGCTGTATGTGTGTGTGCTGTATGTTTGGAGGGATTTGGCAGATTAGTAAATGCTTGCTGCCATGTGCCATCCCTGGTGGTCCAGTGGAGAGTGAACTCTAGCCTGCAGGGCTAGAGTTAACTCTCACGAGATCTGAGCGTTGCCGCAGCGCACACACACACTCACAGACACACACACACACTCACACATACATACACTCACAAACACATACATACACTCAGACAGACACACACACACACTCAGACAGACACACACACACAAACAAATTATTATATTTTAATTTAAAAGCCTCCTACCTGGAGTGCTGGTGTGGAGTTTTCCCTGGGGTCCAGTGGGGCGGGCGCCTTTCTGCAGCTCAGCCGGGCTGTCTGCTGGAGCTGGGAGTCATATTCCGGCTCCCGGCATCAGCGCACGGCGAGAGAGAGCAGAGAGCAGACAGCAGAGAGCTCCCTCGCCGCGGCTGAGCTGCAGGGGGGGGGGATCCATCACCTCTTGCCCCCCCATGACAGGGGCAAGAGGTGAAACAGGGGGCGCTGAGTGCCTGCAGGAACAGCGTTCCTGCTCAAAAAAAGTGCATGAACGCTGTTCCTGCAGGACTCAAACCATAGGCGTGCCACGGGGATTAGGGTGTGCCCAGGTACACCTGGCACACCCCGTGCGCACGCCTATGGATGCTATTATAGTAATTGTCTATAAATAAATGATACCCCTTATTTAGCAATGGGTTAATTAAATTCCATACGATTTTTCCACTCGTCCCAATGATATCCGAGCAACCTGGGGGGTCCAAGTGGCTGTCTTTACCTTCATAAACATGGAAGGTGTAAACATAACCACTGGCACTTTCACAAAGTTTATACAACTTTATCCCATACTGGGATCTTTTGGCCGGGATATATTGTTTAAACCCCAGTCTGCCCTTGTATTTCATTAGAGACTCATCTACACAAATATTTTTTTGTGGGGTGTACTTTGAACCAAACTGTCTGTTGAAGTGGGAAATAAGGGGGCAAATCTTATAGAAATTATCGTATTGAGGATTATCTCTTGGGGGGCACTTCGAATTGTCGCTGAAGTGTAAAAAGCGAAGCATTGCTTCATATCTGGACCTGTTCATGGTCTGGGAGTAAATAGGGGTGCTGCATACAGAATTTTTGGACCAGTACATCCTGATGCTGGTTTTTTAATAATGCCCATTAGCATTGTTCGTGCCCCCAATTTTTTTTTAATTCTGGCACACTGGTGGGGTACCAATTCCCTTGCCTGGCGATGAGACTCTGATCATTAAGTGTCAGGTACTGCACAGCATAAAGGTTGGCCTGGGTGACTATATCCCCTAAAATATCATCCCCCAAGAATAGCTGCATGAAATCCAGTGCACTGTAATTAGTGACGTCCAACTGAATTCCAGGACTGCCAGTAAACACTGGGATGTCAGGCGTGAAATCATTTAGGGGTTCCCAGTCACTAGCGTCATGAGCCAGGTCAGGGGACTCGGCACTTACAACAGAGGGCCCTGCAGTATCTGGCACAGTCTCATCACCACTCTCAGAGGCAGTGTCTGTGGCGTCAGAGTCGGCTGCTAGTATATCATAAGCCTCCTCAGCAGTGTACCTTCTAGACATTATGCAGGTGTAACTTTAACAAATTTTTTTTAAACTTTTTTCTTTTTTTATAGTTTTTTTTTAAACTGTTAAAAACTTTTCAGAACTTTTCAGACCTTTTCTAAACTTTTCGTCTCTAACTAGCCTAACACTCAATTTCCCAAATTCCCACTAAAGTCCACCCACTCCAGCTAACTAAAGAATTAACATTAAATTAAATAAATTAAATAAAATTAACCCCTAAGGGTTAAAAAAAAAAAAAAAAATCAAAATTAACCCTGTCACAGCGATCACATGTGCTGGGACAGCTCTATTGGCGGTTGCTGGTCTGCCTCTGACATCGAGGCACCCAGCAACAGCGTTAACTCCACGATCGCCGCGATCTGGCGTTAACGTTAGTAAATGACGGAGATTTTCCGTCAACGGTCCTTAACGCACGGTCAAGCTTGACGGAAAATCTCCGTCTTTGGTCGGGAAGGGTTAAGTACCAAACTTCTGGAATAAAAGGGAATCATGACATGTCACACATGTCATGTGTCCTTAAGGGGTTAAATAGGTGACTTTGGAACGGCACTGATCAATAACAACCAAGAGTGATCTCATTGTGTAGAATTACCTGCTGCTTCCTTCCGGATATAGTAGGATTTTCCTCTGCTGTATTTCTGTGAATCAGTATTGCGCATTTCTCACTCAGATTATCCTTTTAACAATTTAATTGGAAATTGGTTTCTAAATCATGGTAGACATCATATACATTGCTACGATCAGCTTATATATTCCCAGATACTATCTTCAGTGGACACTATGGTACACCTTCCTCACAAGCTGCTCTGGAACCTCTTTACCTTATATTTGTGGAATGGGCTCAATGATTTACAGAACTTTTTATTCATATCTCAAATATTTTAGGTCATTACTGGCAAACCATTTCTGTAAAAGACAATTTGTATATCTAGCTTTAGTGAACAAGGGTGCTTATTATTTGTTGTTGAGATCTCTCATTTACAAGCTAATTAGCACTACAATTAAAGGGTTACTCCAACCACCATTGCGAATTCAGTGATTTGAAGTGGTCATGGTGGTAGGAGTCCGTATGTGCAGTGTTTCTGCTTCAAACATTGTACAGGGATAGATTTCATTGTGTGCTGGGGCTAGTTGCATCCCAAGCTCATGCGATACCTAATTCCAAATCTGTGCATATTTTGCAATTGTCGTCAGCAAGCACAGCATGCTGGCGACACACATGATCTTCTCCCTGCAAGGAAGTTTTTTTTTCTCCTTCCCACTGTGTGCTCTTTCATGCTGCATTTAAAAATAAATAAATAAACCCTACCACCATTTTCATTCCCTCTCCTCGCCAGCCCAGAGTACGCACATGCACTCTGATAGGCAAAACGATCCAATGACAGGCTTTTCTATGAGAGGCCAGTGATTAGACACTGTGTGGAAGTCCGCTCCGGGAGCTACGCGTTGTGCTTGGAATCCAGGTAGGTAAAACTCTTTTTTGCTGATTTTACTTCAATATGGTGTGGGTGGGGACCTTTTACATGTTTGTGTTTTTCAGCACCAAGAAAATGAATATACAGGATATTACAACTATAAAAGACACCAATGAAAATGGTAAAAGATTGTGTGATGTTAAGGATCATGAGCGACTTGCATTTGCCACAAAGTGCAGTAATTTAGCTTGTGAACAATGTCACAGACAGAAAGGAGATACATATAAGGATTCCGTAACACAAACTATATGACAAGACAACGTAACCCCAAACTTCCTGTGCCGTGTGTAACATCCTCTACTACTGAAACATTAATAATATGTCACTGCATGGCGTCTTCTGCTCAATAATTTGACAACGCACAGGTTTTCCCTCAGTGTAATTTAAAAGGTACGAAGGACTATAACTGGCATGGGAAAACTACATCCCATATAAGGCAGGCAATTGGTTAGTTTTGAAAGAATCACACTGGAAACCAATCAAATGTTCCTGCCAGTTATTTATCACTTTGCCAAGAATTGTACCTAGATGAATAGCTCCATTCTTTACTACAGTTCATTTTTTAAAGAAGAAGTGTCACTTTCCAGGATTTCATTTTACGCAAAACTCATTTTGGACGGGGGGTGACAGTGTTTGTATTAAACAGTTGAAGCCAATACTCAAATGATCTAAAATTTTACAAAATCTATGCAAACAAAGTGATATTTATTTCGCATTGATTCATTCATAATTAAATCGTACTGCGCAAACGGTCAAATGGGGATGAGGGAAAATATGGAAGGAATACTCTGGGCACCATAACGTCAGATATCTAATATGGTGCCTGGAGGTTCTGGGTGCCATCATTCAGGGATGGGCTGAGCAGATTTGTGCATCTGAATAAATTTAGAGTTAAACCATTCGTAAATGGTTTAACTCCTTAAAGGGATACTATAGGCACCAAAGCAACTTTACCTTAATGAAGTAGTTTTTGTGTATATATCATGCCTCTGAAGTTTCACTGTTCAATTCTCACTGAAACTGCAACATTTTACATTGTAGGACTAAGGGGGGCAGGGACATCTAGACCATTTTATCGAGATAAAGTGGTCTGGGTGCCAATCGTGTCCCTTTAATTGTGATGGGAGTAAACTTCTTGCAACCTACATAAGATCTTGACATCCCTATACTATGTTAGCAAAGCAAAAATATGCTAACTCACTAACTTATGGAATTTAATGGATTTATTCTACATGGCATAAATAACACTAAAATAGCTCATCTTGAAAAATTATCCATCTTCGCTGTAATCCAATTGATAATGTATTCTCAATTTTGCCATTTGGATTTAAATTCTTACCTGTATTTATTTATTTTAGTAATCCAACCTAAAATGCTTTCATTTGTTTGTGTTGCAGATAATTAAGTAATGCAAGTGTGTCATACTCAAAGGCTAGCATGGGCCAAATAAACAAGGCTTAAGTGAGCCGCAAAAATAAATAATTCGACCTAGACCAACACAAACTAAAATTACTTGTATCATTCTCATGAAACCAATATGTAATTCTGCCTACATATACACACAAACCTATATATTTACTCAAAAGCTTCACAAGTTAACTACTATGCCACCCTCCCTTCCCCCC